CCAACAAAAGAGAGAGATATCGAATCTCTCATGCAATAGTGCTATCCGATCGAAAAATACTGACCCAGCTCTACGGATTCCCGAAGAACGCGGGCACTGCCTACACTCCACCAACGTATTCTACAATCAACCGCCGTAAGCATTTTTTCCCGTACCCCGTCATGTCTGTTCTCTCCATTCATCCTGAACACAAGTCACACAACATGACACGTCACTAGACGACGCCCTACACCCGGAAGGGAAACCTCGGACCCGGACCCCCCCGCACCTTCAATCCCCCCCCCCCGACAACATCCTTCCCTTCTGCCCAGTCCTCTCCGCTATCCACTACACAACAATCTAGATCCTCTCACCCAACTTCTCACACCTTGCCTGCATTGCAAGTCAAATCTAACACTCGCGGAGGCCTTGCACACCACCCGTTACCGTCACTAGCCGCTCACCCAACCTCGTCAGCAAGTACATCTTACTGTTTCCATCATTCGCATACTACTTGATATTCTTACACTTCACTTGGGGCCGACCCTCACAGTTGACACCCGGATGCTTCGCATTTAAGCTTACGCCATCGCGCCGGCATTATTGTCGTCTTGACTCGATTGAACTAAGGGATTCCTTCACCCGCAGCCTCGCAGTTCTTCGACTCATCAACTCGGCCCACACTGACAGCCCACCGAAATCACATACAGGAGTTACGCGTACAAGAGTAAATTCAAACGTTACAGAAATGTAGACACAAACCGTCACCATAGGCGCCTGATTCACTCGAGAATGCACAGGTCCACCGTCGTTGACCTTTGTCCCCCAACGCATCCGGCTCTCTACGCCGCGCGAACTAATCGCCGAAGTGAACGTCACGCATGGAACACCGACGCCCTCCGCGGCAACGCAAGGCGACACGGCCGGGCGCCGAAGCGGTCAACCGTCGGCTCAAACGTCCGCTCCAATGCCGCCCAAACCGCTACAACCCTGGTGGAAGGCACCTATTTCTCCATCGAGCGCGCGTACATTTCACAGCTGCCGCCACCAAACTCTGACTCCCCTCACTCCTCCCATATTTTCGAACACATCATCACATTATCCACTTCTTCCACGCGCCACTTACCTCAACAGCGGCAATAGCCTAGTCACCCTCCGTCGAGTAACACACGATTCAAACACACTTCGCTCGAGCCAACCAACTGACAGACTTCCTTCGCCACATAGGTACCCACTACCTGCCAGCTCCTTCGGGATTTGATTCCTTAGCCTCCTCCCAACTTCGCACTCGATAATCGCTGTGTCAACCCTTAAGGTTCGTTTTTTTAAAGCGTAAAGGTCCCCACCACTACACATCACCCTCTTCCCGACATCCCTCGGTCGAAAGATTCACAAACATCTCCCATCTCGTTTTTCCATAACTATTGTATCCTACTGCTTCCCTGCTCCCGACTAGGCTACAATATACATCCGAGTCCTTTACGCCGAGCACCTCCTCCTCGACCTCATCACCTCCATCCTCACTGTTCGACGTCACGCGTTCAGCGCAACTCACCTCAAGTTTCCTGCCCGGCTTTCAAGACCACCAGCTTCCTAAACCATCTGTGTTATCTGCACGACACAGTAAAGCAAGATACCATGAAATGACAAAACGCCCAAAATATCCGGAGAGAAGCGAACAAACGTTCGCAACCTCGAAGTTTCCTTGAACGCTCAATAAACAAATCGATCAACAGTACAGCGCCGTTTGCCCGGCATTTTCCCTTCTCTCGGCTCATCAATCCGAAATAAAACATCGCTGCGATCCTCCCCGCAAAGTCGAATCGGCAGCACAATACACAAGAACAACTCAGCTTCAGTGCTGCAATGACTCGTCCAGTCCAGTGCACTGACCCAAGTTGTTCCGGCCGTACTCGCCCACTGCACCTATAAACACTTCACACGCTACATCACTACACACACATCTGATACTCCCAAGGCTATGGCTACACTGGGTCTAACAGTACTTCACGCTGAGGTAAACATTTGCCCTCGAACATCGGCTTGACCTCGGACAGCTATGACAATTTCATTAACATCCTTAGATATAAACTACACGTTGCACCCAGAAAGAGTCAGTGCCTGGCCAGTTACATCACACCGCACCATACTGTAAAAGGAATATATGCGTATTATGAATCACGCAATTCATACCGTCCACGAACCAGAAATAAGTACCACATAAACTCAAAAAAATAAGCTTATTGATAAAGTCTGGCTCTTCCAAGTAAGCTTTTTGAACGTACCTTCAACCCCTCAAAAACAACGTTTCTAGTGAACGCGAAAATCCAGGCGTACCTCCAAAGCGATTCACCAACCCTAAGCACTCATTCACGCGGTTTTTTATTTAACCATCATTCGGTTTTTTCAAAAAAAAAATAAACACTTATATATAATCTACGTCACCGGAATAAAGCTAATAAATTGAAGATGTTCCGACGTCATCTGGCCAAGTGATTTAGTTATACCCATCTCAAAGTAAGCAGCCTTCAATTGCAATAAGTACAGTCCATTTTCGTAAGTAAATTCCCGCGGAAGTTATGCTTTTACGTTCAGCGATCAAATTCACACTTTGACTTCTTACCGTAGTCTTCAGATTCTACACTGTGCTCGTTAGATTAAAGTGCAATCCCCGGCTTCCGTTAAATCAAGTATTTCTCGCGAAATCACGGGGTGTCAACACCCATCCCCATGAAATTCATTTGACACTCAAGCCAGAAATGTTACTACTGTTAAATTACCACTTTGCTTGACCCACTTATCCTCTCAAACAATCATTGTTATGTGACTGTGACGCCATCGTTGCCTGACAGTTTTTACGCTAGGTCCCGGCCGCCACTGCGCGTGTTCCAACACATTGACCCCAAAACTTGATAAATGCGAAACCCGAGCGTGATGCTTAACGTCCAGTCGCCTCTCTCGGTTCAACATCGCAGAAGCGATTTGATTCTGCAAGGGTACCTTACGTAGCAAAATCAATGTCTTCATTTTATCCGCCCACATTTCTTTGAGAAGTGTCGACAACAACTCCTAACATTATTCCGTGAAGTGTATCAAAAGTCTCTTTAGACAAAAGAGGTACTGCACCTCGCGACGTCCTAAGTCAAGAAAAGCACCTTTTGATGATTTGACGCCTGGGAACCAGCGGTTCTGCAGTGGAAACGCTCTCCGCGTTTTCCCAATAAATTATAAAGTTTAGAAATCTAATCGACGGGCCATAAGTCGACCTATAGTATGGAATGCCGTAGCACAACTTAGCCAGACACACGGCCCAACGCACCGATTTTTAGAAAAACCGGCAATCCCTTACGCTGCTTCAGTTCGTAGGTTTCACGAATGCACTATAGAAAACTTAAAGAGAATCACGATTAAATGCAGTCCCCCGAATAAAGGGGAAAATGGACCTATTAGGACCCACACACGTCCTCCTAGGGCGCACACACACATCCGCATGGAAAAAATTTTGACTCGCGACGTACATGCCTCAAAGCTGGCGGGTCGGCGCACTTCCGCCCACCGATCATCTGCACCCACCATGCCGTATTCAAACGGGCGAGTGATAGATAGCTGAGAGAGCGTAAGTGTTGAAGAGGGCACAGCGATGGAAGTCGCATCAATGCTCGAATCAACGGGCAAGGAAGGGATACCATTTCTCGGGTTCTGGGCCGTTTCTCATGGTTCTTTCTTCTTTCGTGTACCACTCACCATCCCTAGGTAATTTTGAAATGGGTTGCTTTTTCATCGTGAATTCATCCTTTAAACCGCTGCGTTTCTGGGCTTCTCTTTTCAATATGTAAGAATAGGAATGCACCAATATCAATAGCATTGGCCTCAGCGGCTCCAGCCATACGATCAACGTTCAGGGTATGCCATCATCTAATACTGAGGACCAAAAAAATATACAAAAGTTTACCGCAGGCGGTGAAAAATGCTGAAGATAAAATACCAAGAATGTACCCAGATCCTAGGACTTATGATCTAAGGGAGTTACGAAACCTCGATTCCAATGTAGCCTTTATTGACAAGGTCCCACTTTTCAGTTGCTCGTAAGTACCGCTCTACCAAAAAAGTACGTACTGCAGTCTGATTAACTTCAGCTTCTCATGGGAACCCACATCAGCAGGAACAGCAATTCTGCTGCAAAATGAACATTCACCGAAAATGATTGGTACTTAATGGGAACACCAATAACGTCCAACAGTCTTGAAGACCCCCGGGGAAATCATGCCACCTGCAAGCCAGCTAGATCTTCATCTTTATAAGGGAACTTGTCGCACTTCATCGGTCCAGCCCATAAAGGCGAACGGATGAGCTCGAACCAGCGAAAAGCAGAATTTCATAGTTGAACTCAAGGGCAAAACTGAAGCACCAACTCATAAAGATCAACCAGCTTCCTTATAGGCTAAACGAGACCCATAATACCCATCATTCCTGCTCTGTGTCAGCTACGACACGAATCACAAAGGTTTATTTCTTGAACAAAATACTCTCGGGATTAAATAATAGACACAGAAATAATCAATTCGATGGATTAGCACGTCCACCACATGAGTATCAAAATCCACGCATATAGATTTTATCCGTCAGCAGTGAAATCAAGTCGTGTTTAACACACTCACCCACATGCAATTACACCTACACATCACTTTTTCTCACTTCTATGCCCGCAATAAACACGACAATATAACAAAACCGGAGAAATCGTCAACAACATTGTGAAACAAATAAAACAACCACAGAGTGACGAATTTCCAAAAACAGCAGCACGCAAAGAGTTCAGAGAAGGGTTTATGCATCATTCTCCTCACCGTCTGACGCTCCTTCATCATCCACCTGAAACTATACTCCAATTACAACGAGCTTTGCTTCTCAATCAAAACATTCCTTAAATTTTGCTTAGTAGGTTTTACGCCGAATGCGTGGGCGAAGTCACTTGAACCGTCGCGCCCCTTACAGTGACGCCTCTCCTTTTAGGATGGCAAGGGGCCGTATGCTGAATGTTGGGGATGGGACGGGGATGGGTAAATGAAGAGGAGGTTTGTCGCAGGACCCACTGGGCAACGGCAGCACATGAATTTTGCAGTTATACATTTGAATTTTGCAGCTTTTTTTCCAATCTTGCATCGCTGCTTTTGGTGTAAAGAAAGGAATTTACGTGCGAACATACAATTAGAAACAGTAAAAGGATGGAAACAGAGCTGCAAATTCAAAAGGTGCGGCCGTTGCCCAGTAGGTCCTACGACGAACCTACCCAACATTTACCCATCCACCTCCCCCACCCCCCAACATTCAGCATACGGTCCAAGGATAAGGATGCATCAGTGGGTAAACGTGCGAGATCAAGTGACTCAACCCATTCGAATAGCGTGGAGTGTGCCCTAAGAGCTCTTGATCAGTCACCATTTAACTGGACTAAAGGTCAAAAAAGAAGTGCAGTCATAAAAACGAGAACTATACCAAATAACTTAAGAAGGCTTTTCTCTCCCTAAAAAGATCAAGGTTTCCTCTGAAAGCTATAACACTTTACAAAATTGTCCCTGCAAAATTTCTAGAGAAAATTCGAAAACAAGACTCGAATGGAGTACAGTTTAGCACGATTTGGGCGGCTCTAATCCCAAAAAAAAAGGCTTTATTCATATTTTCCGAAATAGACTGTTCCCCTCAACCCGGATCACGCAGCCTGTATAGGGCAGACCGCGCGCGGCGGTCACGAATTACTGCCGAGCCCTAGTTTCCATTTAGGCGAGGTATTTATGATGGACAAGGCTTAATTAAATATTCCCCAATGTTTTCACTACAAAGTTCTAATGGACTTTTAAACGTGTTCAATGCGGGTTTCAGCACTTGTGAACTGCACATTAGGAATTTTGGCATACCAGAAGTATGACTATTATAGCATTAGTATCAGAATGATGTGAAGATCGACAGGGGAAAGAATTGAAGTGACTAAACCACCTAGATTTGCTGCCTATGATGCGTAAGCTAAGCAATCAGTGATGGTGGTTTTGGGGTCTGCCAGAGGGAACAAACGCCTACCCTCTCGCTTTCATTATGTTATGCTAACCTTTCCACTTACAAACAACGAAAAATAATGCTCAGTCTTCTGGACTGAACAGGGACTCAGCGAAGAGCCCGACGTTCAACGTACCACATGCAGCCGGTCAGTAAGAACGCTATTGTCTTGAGCGCTACGGCTCATCGCTAAAAACATCATAAAAGAAGAGAAATGTATGATAGCCTCCGGAAAAATGCCACTCACAATTACCGTGCGCAACTTTGGTTACTCGTACTTCTGGTTCTGACCACCAATTTTAGTACGGACAAGAACTCCACAGAACAAACGAAAGTAATGAGAGACAGCCAAGAGGTAGAAAAGGGAAGAGAAAAGTTTACAAAACACATAAACAACAACTGCCGAGATGGCCAGGTTGGTGCTTTTTTCAAATAGGCAGCGCAAACGCAAAAATCTGCAGGGTGGGTAAGAAAAATTTGGAGCGGTGAAGGGCACATATCAAATGGACTGAATTGCCTGAAAAAAAATTGCAGAAAACTAGCAATTGGTTAGCAAGGAGTGTGGCAAAATAATGTAACTTCATATACGTAAACAATCATCACTTTCAATGCGACCTTCTGACATGCACGCGCAAAGCAGCGCCTCAATCACCAATACATTTTCACCAACAAATTGTTCGTGACTAAATTCGCGAGATTCCCAACGCTTTCACAGATTTTCTCAAAGTAAACAATGTCACTCAAAGAGTAAATATAGCCACCGTTGCGGCTTCTGTAACAGGTAACGTTGCAACCCTTCATATATGCCGATTCTGGGGTAAAAGTGGAAACAACCTCCTGGGTCATCTGAAGGGTCATTTGAAACTTTGACACAATCGTAATGTATATCCTCCACAAGGCCTCGAAGCGGATCCACAACGAATCATTTCTCAGAAAAGGAAAAAGAAAGAAAAGGCTATTCAAAACTTCTTTCCATGTGCGAACAGGCAAGCTTGCAACCCATCAGCACTACAAGCAGAACTCGGGTGAATGGCTTATGCAATTTCGACAAAAACGCTGAGATCTACGCAGTCAATGGTGAAAATGAAAGATGTATGCATTTGACTTGAAACATTTGCGAATGTAAATTGTTAAAAATTGGAAATAAGTCATCTCACAAAATGGTGGATATGATCTGATGCGTCATTTAATTACTTCTTCGCCCTAGACGGGATTTTGCGCTGCCGAAAAAGAGAAACTTCATCACTAAAGCTGATCGATCGTTGATCTATTTTTATTTAGTCATGGATTTCATGTTAAGAGCAACCCCAAACAATTTTGTAGGCACTTCCTTTTAGTGTTATATTGAAAATCAGATCCGGCTATCACAAACAAAAAGCTTTATCGGTACTTTGGCTATAAGCGGATCATCAGTAGACGCCTGTCTGAGGATGACCGCAAAGAGAAAACAGACATTTACAAATCGGGTTTCCTCGCTATCATCAACCTGCTTAACATTTCTATCATATGCTACCCGGAGGATTCCGTTTCTTTCTCAGACCTATTACATCTCTTGAAAATATGCCCCAGTTATATTTTAAGCAGTAATAATAGTTAGGCTGACAGCCACTAGCACCTTTCAACAACATTCATCAAGTTTCTTACAAATTTACTAATCAAAGTGGTTTTATCCAAGTTTCATACACGTTGATGACCTTCTACCATTGTACTTCGGGAGTTCAAGAAACCTACTAAAAAAATCCTCCTGACATTGCAACAACTTAGTTTTACCATTCGAAAACATCAACACAAATAGACATCCTTATATTCACCGACCGTGAAAATCTTACCTTGGACTTTTATATGCCGTAACTCAATAAATGCGGCTATACCATGAACATTATAAACTATGTATAAATCTCTAGACAGTATGAGCTGAGCAAAAAAAGGCCGAAAAATCACATACTTCTTCCAGACCCTCTTCATCGTCAATAAGTTCTTCAAAGTCATCACCAGTTTCTTCCATTTCCGGCAAAAGGTAGTACTGCAGGGGATTGGGCCACATGTCGTCTTTGATAACCTAATTAACAAATTTTTTTAATAGATAAACGACTGCTTAATGGGAAAACGTAAAGAGGATAAGATGCAAAGATTCTGTGGTAACTTATACCTCAGCTATATCGTCGTGCGCTGGGTCAACGTTTTCTGACAACCACTCGAAAAATGACAGCGGAGATGAAGAGTCGCCTTTCTGGAATTATTTCAAAAGGTCGTAAATTTGTGAAATCAAAAATCCATGAATAGGGGAGAAATGTTACCTTGCCCAAATTCTTGCCCTCTTTCCACCGTATGGTGGTGCCTGTGGTTGATGGTGTGTCTCCAAGATTGTACTCTTTTTCAATTTTTTCGTTCTCGAAGAATTCATTGGGCGTGAAAAAGAAGCGTAAACGGAAGCCACTCTTTATGTCATCGAATTCGTCAACCTGGATGATGCGAGGGTTAGCAGAAAAGTTATAAGAGCTTGATAACAAAAGGAACGGAACATGAGTAGTCCCACCTCTATATTGCTGAGATGCGTCAGAGCTTGCTCTTCGCTTTCATCAATTATGGACGACAGCTGAGGATGGTTTAGAAACTAAATTGGTTTAGAAACTGAATAAGTGCAATGGCTTAAAAATGCAGCAAAACTCGACCCTAGTGACTTGAGTGGGGTCATCAATCCACAACAACCTACTAACAAAACTCACAGCAGTACACCAAAAATTGGGAATTTTCTTGATCATCTCACATCGCTTCTCATACTGAGGACGACGCAACAAATTGTACTTCTGCTCGACCTGAAACAAAATAAACATCCCTGATGCAAATAATTAATTCTTAAGTGAATTAGGAAACAGGGACATATCACATTATCATAACACAAATATATCACAAACAGGGACATTCAATCAATCAAATTGAAATGCTTGATCAAAAAGGCCTTATACATTCAATAGAAAATCCTAATTTGAGGGTACAAGTCTTGCAAAATCCTATAAAAACATGTCCATCCTTACAGTCCCATCTTAAAGTGGGCTTTGAACGAGTGAACCACTACAAGTTCCACATTCTAATGGATTCAAAGGAGCAGCTTAAGGGACTAAAGATAAATAGCAGTACCCACTCCATTTCGAGCTATATTTCCTCGCTTCGACAGTTCGAAAATACCTACACAAACCAAGTCGGTACCATAAGAATGCTGAGTTGTGGGCAAAACGCCCCAGCCGTGATTCATACCCGGAGGAGCCCGGATCCACAACTCATTGTCAGCACTCTTGAGATAACTTTGCAACGCGATTTGCGGCTAAAACAGCAGTTATTCAACTCGGAACCTATTTTANACCAACTCTGCATCAATCAGCGATAGCGGCTTTTGTAACTGG